CATATATGAAGATTATTTCTATGAATCTGGATTTATCTCGTATTTGAATTAAGTCTAACTAGAGCTCCGTGCTCAGTTATCCATTCTGGGATAGTATAATTGCAAAAGGATCAATATGAGAAAGTGAAACCACACAGCCTGACATTAAATAAGCTGGAGCACCTCTCCTGTGAAGACAAACTGAGAGAGTTGGGGCTGTTAAGCCTGGATAAGAGAAGGCTCTGGGGAGACCTCATAGCACCTTCCAGTACCTAAAGGGGGCCTGCAAGAAAACAGGAGAGGGACTTTTCACAAGGGCGTGTAGTGACAGGACAAGGGGCAATGGCTTTAAACTGAAATAGGGTGTGTTTAGATGAGATATTAGGAAGAAATTCTTTGCTGTGAGAGTGGTGAGGCACTGCAACAGGTTGCCCAGAGAAGCTGTAGATGTTCCATCCCCGGAACTGTTCAAGTCCAGGTTGGCTGGGGGCCTGAGCAACCTGATCTAGTGGAATGTGTCCTGCCCATGGCAGTAACTAGGTGATCTTTGTCTCTTCCAACCCAAACCATTCTATGATTCCATGTTCCACAGAACTTTTTTCTGTGGATTTCATATTGGCCTGTCTCTTTATGTTCTGTGTAGCCTTACATATTGCTCTTTTTCCCCCCTTTGTTGTCACTTGCTTTTATCTGAGCCAGTTGAACCTGTTGGATAGTGTTTTAGGCTACGTCAAGTTTAATGCGTCATAAATCTTATCCTTTTGAATATGAAAATCAAACTTTTTAACATACTGTAGTGAGAAATAATAGATCCTAATCTGAAATAGGACATTCATTAACACAGTGTATTTGTACTTGAAGTTCTGAATAGGTACTAGCAATTTACAAAGCAGTTAAGGTCTAACAAGATTTTACATCTTTCTAGATCTAAATATGGTATCCATTGTTCCATCTTAAGCTCTTTAGTGTTGTCTTCTTCAAATACTAACTTCTTGTTCCTTAGTATACTCTCTTCATCTCTCTCCTTGCTCATTTGTCCCTATTCATAGCCTTGCCTTTTGGATTCTCGAAGTTAATGGTGTGCTCTCTGCTACTGTCTGATTTTGAGAGGTGTAGTTGTGTTTTTGCACAGAGGACTGTGACACTATTACCTTGTCATTCTGGACTGTCATTTTGTAGCTGCCTGATAAGTCAACATTTTTTCCCTTTTTGTTTAATTAGTCTTTCCTATTATTAGTCTGTACTCCAGGCTCTAACATAACTTGAATTCTGCTTGCATTGTGTGTTCGGGGCAGAGTTTTACATTGTTACCTGAGGTTATAGTTGATTGCTGTATTTCACCATAGCTGTGTTTGCGTAACGCAATCATATGTTAATAAAAATATGGAGGGTGTCTTTGAACTTTTGAGGAACTGAAATGCTGACTAGCTCGTATTGAGAATGTCTTTGAAAGAAAGTTTAAGGTGGATATTTTTTGATTTTCCTAGGAATTTTTTGAAGAGGTAGAAGATCTAAAGCATGCTGTACAGGAATGTCTGAAACTGAACTATGAGTACGAAAAATGCTTGAAACAAATAAGTGTAATGTATGGGCTTCCTTTTACAGCACATTTGTAAATACTGGTTAATTTAATGGCAAGTAGAGTTTCCACTTTTTTTTTTTTTTATACTTACTGCAACATTTAAACCTACCATGGCTTAAGTGGTACCTCGTTTTGATAATGTTATGGATTCATTAATATGATCCTAACAAGCTTCTCTGAAATGTTTTTGTATTTTGTGCCTTTGATTTTTTGTTTATATGGTTTTTAAATAAACTGTGGTCTGTATAACTTCAACTAAGTTTCAAAGCCTTCTCTTTCACACTTATGAAATACATTCATTGTAGGAGTGATTGTGGGCGTTTATGGGAATATGAAAAAAATCTTCGAATTTCCCAATTTATCCTTTTCA